ATATAGTACAGGGAAATTATTTTGTAAAAAATATAAATATTTTTTACATATTTCTTTTAATAAATAATTTTGAAATAAATTAATTCAAAGAACATGTATGTGATTAATTCGCCATCTAACTTTGACCGTATTGGCGCTTCTTGTATTTAGGTGATGTACTCATCTAATAAACGACTAATTTTAACAAGCTTGGAATTAATGCTGCGAAAAACGAGCGCAAAAATCGGTCATATTCCACAAAATCAATCACAAAAATTACTCGATAGTCCGGGAACTAAGACGCGCCGAGCATCACGCCGTTCTGGCATGCCGAGTCGTTGCACGTGAATGTTACACTTGGCCGACGTGTTTCCTCGTCGAGGACGAGAAGGTCTAACGTAATATACACGGGCCGGAGACTAGCACGGGATGGTGCGGCGCGGTACGGTGCGACGCGGAGCGTCGCGTCTTTCACGGTCATTCCGCGGGGCTGCCGATCGGGGACTCTGTTCGCGACCCGCTTAAAATAGAGTCGCCGTATATTCCGTAGGTCGTCGATCCCTCTTCCGCGTCACCTGCCATGCTGCCTGCAGCTTGTGTCAAGATACGAGGAAGCCCGGCACTCTCTGCGCGTGCATCACGCGCAACCACTGTCGCGTCGCGCCGAGATGGTACGCCCGCCCTGCCGCTGATGTCAAGAAACGGCACCGATCGAACGGTCATTGACTAAAGGCTTCGACGGTAAATAACCTTATGCCCGTTACCATAGACGCGCGTTGCGCCTTTTCACAAGGAAGCGGCATTGTCGAAAGAGGATAGCTGATAGCTTCCGATATTACATGCGCAAATCCGCCTTTGCAGATATTACGAACTTTAACTAAACATTTCCGAAAGTTTTCTTATGTATTTACAAGTATATTAATGTTTTTTTTTTTTTTCAAGACAAATGCTACTTTAGAATGTAAGAAGCATGATTTGATTCTTGACGAATTTATGGTTTCGTTATGAATTTATTACAGTTAATTTAGCAATACATGAATTGTAACGTATGGCTAATATTTTACAAAGATGAATCACTTTGGATTACAAAAGTCATCATCTGTGTTTCGCAAGTCATAATTATTACAATTAATTGTATTCAATTAGCGATTATCAAAGAGGATTGACGATCACGTCAATGTTAATCAAGCAGTTAATTAATTTTTAACAATTGAGATTTTTCGGTTATTAGACATTTTCTTCCTTTTCGTAAAACGTTATATTTTCGTCGGGGTAGTATTCTTTGGTAGTACGGCACTTGAGCTATCGTTTCGCATATGATAAAGCCCGATCGTGTTATCGTGGTGCGGAGGACGATGCTTTGTTCGCAAGCCTGCTGTGTCAGACAAAACGGGTATATCGTATGGTCGAGTAAAATGAGGAGATCCCACGGACAACTTGCACATTTTATAATGAGCTTGCTGCTGATTCGCTGTAAAAAGAGGATAAGGTGTAACATGGGGCAGAAAATCGGCTTACGAAGAACGTACGTAGGAGTTCCAAGCGGATTTCACTAACTGCATTTACGGTTGTCGCTCTCTTCCGTATGACTCATTTTTTTTTTTTATTCTTCTTTCATCCTTTCTTTATTATTTTGTAAAGTTACATGGAGCAAAAGAGAGTTACGCAAATACAAATTGTATAATCAGCTATGTAGAATATGTATATATAATTTAATTTTCTCAGAGCGCTGCTACTTTCGAAAGTAAAAGACAGACGCTGTGGGAACATATATCCCCAACGGCGGATTCAACAAACAAAAGCATTTATCTTAACGGTGGCGATTACGACGTTGCTTACCGCTATATATGTTACATTTTAAAGCGCCTCGACAATCGCCGATGGCGAATACTTGTCCTTTCCTCATTGTGTCGGACAACGGTAACAAATAAGCCTGCGACAAAGCGACGTAAAGGGCACAAAGGACGTCAAAGCGGCTCGCTCGTGCGCCTATCTACCTGTCGAAGCAGCGCGGCGCGGGCCAGGGAGCCCCGACGCGGCAGCGCTTTTTCTCGGCTCTCTCTCGACGAGCCGACGCTTCCTCCGACCGTCCTTACGCGATGTCACTGACCCGAGTCCGTATCTCGATGCACAAGAATAAGGAGGAGGAGGAGGAGGCGAAGGAATGGAAGGAGAAAGAAGAAGAGGAGGAGGCGGCGGCACGAGATTCCATCGTCGTAGTCATCGTTTGTCGTCACCTAGGGGGCTAACCACCGCTTGGCCACCACCGCCGCCGACGACGAAGACGGTTGAGGTCGCAACGTCCGGCGGTGACAGCAGCGGCGGCGACGATGGTGGTGGTGGTGGCGGCGGCAGTCGAAAAGGAGCGCAATAGCGTCGTTGCACCGGTGCAACGTGTAACGATATAGCGTGGGGCCGCGGCCTGGCCCGGCTTATCCCACAGCCTGGTCCGACCGACTCGCCTCGACGCGGTGCGGTGCGGCGCGGCGCTCCCGAAGGTGGGGAGAGAAGACCTTGAGCTGCGTCACGTGACCCCGAAGGTGCATAAAAGCCGGGTAGGGCGGTCGCGGAGGGCCTTGAACTTACCGCCGGCGTCGTCGAAGCCGGCGTCGTAACTATCGTATCACGCACACACGCTCGCGCCTTCTCGAGCGTAGATGTAGAAGAGGAGAGACGACTCTCTCGGGAATAGAGCGACACACACTCGGCATGTGCGTACTACTACCGCGTACAATCTTCAATCGCCTCTTTTCTTTTCGATTTACCTTCGCTCAAATGTAAGATAAGAGAGAGAGAGAGAGAGAGAGAAGGTGAAAGAGAAGCGTATTCCGCGTACGCTCGCACTCGCTCAGCGTGTACGCTCGTTTCCGAAAACGTAGACCGGCTCGGTGCGCCGGTATGCGACCTGTACTCGCACCCGCGAGGGCCTACCTGCCGCTGCTTACACCTGGGAGCAGCGGCGCGGGGAGGCGCGGGTGTCAGGACGACACTCTCGCGACGAGGAAAGACCGTACACACCTGGGATACTTCGATATGCTCGACCGCTTCGACTTGCTCCGACTTCGCCCGTCCCGCTCGTAACTAGCACGTTTTGTTACGTTACTCTTCTCGAGGCACCACCGCCGTCGGCGGTGCGTTTCGTTTGAACCCCGCGATAACTAGCTCAGCAGAGAGTACGGTTACCGCGTTACTTGGTGCGCTCCTGCATATGAACCACAGATATGAAGAAGATAGTACCCCCGACTGCAATAGCTCGCTGCGTCGCGATGCGTAAAATAAGATAGAGTTATAGAACGATACTCTACATTTCCTGTAGTGTGTTTTATACTAATTCCGAATGGTGTCTTTAACTGAAGAATTTTAAATCAACGTTGTATAAATTTGAAGGTTCGAAATTTCAAATAAAAGTTTCCATTCAAAAATCCAGAATACACAGATAGATAGGTACTGACTAACTTAAATCGATTTCCGAACTTTCTAAACTCCTATCTATCATGAACTTATGCGCTATAAGGTACTTTATATGTATAAGTAAAGTAGCGAAACAGCGAGAACTGAATTATTTCTTTCGAGGACATGTCAATGAGTTGCAAGGTGTTAATCGTTAATATATAGTGCTTGCGAGTTACGCGCAGATCTCTCTCTCTCTCTCTCTCTCTCTCTCTCTCTCTCTATATATATATATATATATACACGCAGCGTGTGTACACCGGTTGCGTAAATTATTTTAATTATCTGAACAGTTTACGCTTCAGAGCGTATGATCTAAATGAACGATTTTGCAATACGCTCCAGTTTGAAAAGGGATAGCGAATTTAACAGATCTACTCTCTAAATTTCTAAAATCTTCGGGAAGTGGAATCTAATTCTCGCAGAGCAAAATCTCGCTCTTAAAAACTGACACTCTTTTTCAACACCGACTCAACTGTCATTCTTTAAAAAATCAAATTCCACTCGAGATTTTAGAGAGCCAAGCGATTACGTTCCAGTCAAGCGATTGTTCGCGAATGATCATCGAAGATTCGCGATATGGACACGCGTGTCGATCTTTGTTCTTTTTCCTATATGTTTGTCGCGTGATCGACCGAACACTCGTCCCGCACGCATTCGCACCATGTGCGGGCGTGAGTGAACGCATGTGTTTCCGCGCGAAGGTCGTTCGGCGGTTCCGCGGGACCGGAAGTGGGCCGGCCTTGTGGCACGGCCATCGGCGTAACCTTGCAGACAAGAGAGAGAGAGAGAGAGAGAGAGAGGGGGGGGAGGGAGAGAGAGAGAGAGAGAGAGAGAAAGACTTGACTGTGTCAGCGCTCGCGAAATTGCGTCTAATTGTGTGACTAGATTTTCAGCGAATAATCCATGCGAGAAATCTATACCGATTCGATACTTGGTTTCTCAGCCGAAGTAGTTAAAGGAGTTTGCACTTTGCATTCTTGCGAAACCTACGTTATTGCGCAAACCGTGAATTAGAAAGTATATCTAAGAACTTTATAATCGGACTTTGAAAAAATTTTCACTTTAAATTTAAATTTTGCATTAAAATGGATTTGATTTAAACCAACGGAAAATCATTTAGTATAAATCAAATATTTTGAGTGAGTTAAATTTTGTAAATGAGCAATCATATTAAAATAATAAGAGATGAGACTCGGTTTCTTTCTCTGATTAATTGATTATAATATTTTTAGCATCAGATTAATGATTGGGAGATGCGTTAATAGTGGAAATTAATATAAGATGCACAATGACTCGTTCGAAGGTTTCGTCTTCAATATAAAAGATATTGCGAGAATGTTAGCGTAATAATAATTAATGGAAATTTGCATAAACACATAAGAACTGTATTTCGTTCTTCTTTTTTAGTGGCACGGAGCAAACGTGAAATCGGCATCAATCGCACGACAATACATAACAATTGCAGAGGTGACAATAATAGAGCCCGCCGTAAGGATGCTGTACACTTTTGTGAGGATCGAGAGGCCACGAGTCGTATCACGAGCTTGTAGTAGCGTACCCAGCTGAGAATGTCAGAACAAAACGGGCCCAGCGAGGGCCCAGGACCAGGTCCCGGTTCGGATTCGAGCTGGTGGCCAAGTACGCAGACTTGGAAGTCGTCAGCGGCCTCGTCGTCGACTTCGTCGACTCCCACTTCAGCGTCCGTCTCTGTCTCCTGTTCTACGTCCAGCTCGTCGACGAGCTCCTCCACCTCGATCAATTCGTCCGCGACCTGCTGTTCCTCGTCGTGTATCGGCGTGTCCTGCACGATGAGTCCAAGCCGTTCCACGGAGACGGGGAAAAATGTATCCGTCACTACTATTAACGTACCGCCCAATCAAGAAATGCATGATGGTATTATTTCTTGATTCTTTATAAGATTTCTTTAATACTTGGTAAAGTGAATACTTGGCAGTAACAAAAAATCCTTCGATTTATTATTAAACTTTTTTCTATATATATTCTAATATAATTTTTATTCATTTTAATAATTGCCGCGAATCTATATATTACATTAAATATTATATATACAGTTCCTATATATTATTAATTTTTTTTTCAATTATTTACAAATCTGTTTTGTTAATATTGGAGTCAAAGCATTAGAAAACTTTTTCATGAACAAGCTCCTTTTCTTAAAGTGGTACAATTTGATCTACACATAATGCAACTATGATTTTAGCTAAAGGAGTATGTAAATATCTCGGGGGCCAAAACGGCGTGACGGTGTCGGTGGTATCGACCTCGGTACTGGGATGTGGAAACGCGAATGCCGTCCCGACAAGCGGAATCTGCACGAATACGGGGCCGCATAGTGTCGGTATCGGAATTAGTGGCACCCTCGCTGCGAACGCGGCCGACATCGATGATCCTGAGGACAGCGACGGTGAGATCAGCAAGATTGACTTTCGAGGTGTCAATCTACGTTCGAAGAAGAAACGCGATGTATCGGGTAATCAGAATGGCGACAAGATCGGTGACGGTGACGCAAACGGTGACGGCGGGGGATGCTGCGATGATAATTCGCAACAGCAACCTGAGAGGCCCATGTCATGGGAGGGTGAACTATCGGACCAAGAAATGTCTTCCAATACAATTACTAATCAGGTTAGTATTACTGAATTGTATTATTGCAAAAATTTTATCTAGTTTGACCGATATATTTATTTAAGACAAAAGTGAAAGGAAAGTATGTGACGCTTTTACATACAGAGAAATAAACTGTTACAAATTTCAAACCCAGATTCGAAAAAAATATTCATATAAATTTTTGAAGAATATGTAATTACAAAGAATATGATTTTTCATTCATGAAGAAATGCCAAATATGAATTTATATTAAAAGAAACAAATAAAATGTCAATATGAGCCAACATATGTAAGTTATCAATGTGTACTTTTTATACAATTTATTCGAAATGAATAATAAAGAAATTCAGGCCTAGTTTTTGTTTTCTCTTACTTCACACTTTAATAATATATAGTTTGTATGCGCTACCATCATGGATGTAATTTTATTTCACTTACTGAAGAGGACTTTAACCATAGGTCGAAACGTATACGCTTTATTATTCATTTCGAATAAATTGTATAAAAAGTACACACTGATAACTTGTGTTGGCTCATATTGGCATTTTATTTGTTGTTTCTTTTGATTTATTCAACTGAGCCTTTTGATTATCTTGTTTTTTGAATTTATATTCTTTTAAATAAATTTTATTTTATTATTAATTAAAAAATTACTTGGCAATGTTACATATAAGAGAAAACGGAAAGTTTCTAACTGTTTGATTATAGATATATAATAAAAACACACCCAGTAGTAATCTGTTTAACATTCATGTTATGATCTGTGTGATATAATATAGTCAAATTTTTAATATAAACATTTTTATTTTAATTATATAATTGTATATATACATATATATTAAAAAACTTCAATTTATCATTTAATTTAGGACCATAATGAGGAAACGTCTATGGAGGGGGTTCAAGTATGCAGTACGAGTCCTGGGCCTATGGAACAGAAATTTCCTATTAAATCAGAGCCGGATTTTCGATCTAGTCCAGGTTTCACAATAGGATCTTTTCACGATGGTGGACTGCCCATGACACACAATCAACAATTACAACAACAGCAACAGCAACAACGTAGTATCGAAAACCTCGAACAAACTCAACAGAGTGACCTACCACTTCTCGTAGGCAAACTTCTCGGTGGATACAACAATTCAACACCTAATCACAGTCCTGTTCTCAATCCGCGACATCATCTAACTAAACACAGTCATACCAGATCGCAGGTGAGTAACAGTACGACACAATTTAGCTAAAAATCATACTAATAGCTGTCAATCCATTAAATTTTGTGTTTAATTATATCTATGTATACTATACATTTTAACCACTGGACTTTCGTAGGTGCCGTCACCAGATTCCGCCATTCATTCTGCGTATAGCGTCTTCAGTTCACCGACACAGAGTCCCCACGCAGCACGACACTCTGCCTTAGGAGCGGGTAGTCCAATACCCTCCTCGTCGTTGTCGCTCTCTCGACATAGCTTTAACAACTCGACTTCTTCGTTATCTCTGTCGTTGTCGCATTCACTTTCGAGGAATAATTCCGACGCTTCCAGTAGCTGCTACAGCTACGGTTCGCTTAGCCCGCCTACGCATTCACCCGTCCAGCAGCCGAGACATCCGCATTCACATTCGCAACATCATCAGCATCAAGTGGCGCAAGGTAGTCCGCTGCATCTTCCAGCATCGTCCACAGTTGCCGCACATCATTACTCGTCCTCTTCCGTACCAAGTTCAGAATTATCGCCGGATGGCCATCCCGTTACGGAAGATCAGGAAGACTGTAGGTTACCTTCGGCACCATCGGGTATCTCCACCAGGCAACAACTAATTAACAGTCCCTGCCCGATTTGCGGTGACAAGATAAGCGGCTTCCATTATGGCATCTTCTCGTGTGAATCGTGCAAAGGCTTTTTTAAGCGCACCGTCCAGAATCGTAAGAACTATGTGTGCCTTAGAGGCGCAGGTTGTCCGGTCACCGTGGCCACGAGGAAGAAGTGCCCAGCCTGTCGCTTTGATAAGTGCCTCAATATGGGTATGAAGCTTGAGGCGATCAGGGAGGATCGTACCAGAGGCGGTAGAAGCACTTATCAATGTACCTATACTCTACCAAATCTTGTTGGCAGTCCTGCTGGTATGTCTAATGAAAAACTGACGACGACGGGTAATTGCAGCCCGGCACAGGCTGGTAGCGAATACCATTATTCTGTTAGATATCATTCAAATCATTCTTACAAATCATTCTTAGTACCTCAACTTTTGCAAGACATCATGGATGTAGAACATCTCTGGTATTATAACGATAACGATCGGGTAAGCGGTAGTGGAGGGATACTTGGAAATGTAAGCAATACCGGTGGTGATAGTATGCTGTTCGGTGGACCCGGAAGTGGCCCATTGCTTAGTGGCACTGGAAATGCGACCGGTATTGGCAGCGGAAACAACGGAGGTACAGTGGAATGTTCGTCGAATGACTCTAGCAATGTCGATACTAATAGCAGAAGGGGAGAAACGGCGAGCCCCATTGATTCGACCTTAACGGGGACGTCCGATCAACATTCCACAAATGGCAATACCACTAATAATAGTAATTCTCAAATTGCCAGTAATTCCAACGGTAATTCAGCGCAGCATCCAGACTTTCTATCTAATCTGTGCAACATCGCGGATCATCGACTCTATAAGATCGTTAAGTGGTGCAAGAGTTTGCCATTATTCAAAAATATTTCAATCGATGATCAAATCTGTTTGTTGATTAACTCTTGGTGTGAGTTATTGCTTTTCTCTTGCTGCTTTCGCAGCATGAGTACTCCCGGTGAGATAAGAGTGTCTCTCGGCAAGTCGATTACTCTAGAACAGGCAAGACAGCTTGGTTTAGCGACTTGCATCGAGAGGATGCTCACTTTTACCAATAATCTGCGAAGACTGAGAGTAGACCAATACGAATATGTTGCAATGAAGGTAATTGTTTTCCCTTTCGATTCATTAAAAATTCTCATTTTCAGTGCATATTTAGTATTTAATACAACTGTTTGTATATTCGCATCAAAATTGAAAATAACTTTTGTATCAGATGAATATAGTCTAAATAACTGTATCAAATACAGTATTGTGAATGAAGATTAAATGATTCAATCAATGATTTTTTTATTTATAACACAGTAAGCTACACAGTAAGAATAAGTACATTATTAATTCATTTTTTCTTTATATTTGTTTCTTACAAGGTGATCGTGCTATTAACGTCCGATACAAGCGAATTAAAAGAACCTGAAAAGGTCAGAGCTTCTCAAGAAAAGGCACTTCAAGCACTGCAGCAATACACAATCGCGAGATACCCAGAAATGCCTGCCAAATTTGGTGAATTATTGTTGAGAATTCCAGATCTGCAAAGAACATGTCAAGCAGGAAAAGAATTGCTCAGTGCAAAACGTGCCGAGGGAGAAGGCAGCTCGTTTAATCTTTTAATGGAATTGTTAAGAGGAGATCACTGAATTGTCAGCACAGTGAACTATACCGTAAGTTTAGTAATAAATAATCTATTACTTTTTTTGTTGTAACAAGAAAAACAATTATTTTAAATAATTATTATACTGATTATAATCAGACCTCTGTTTTCTTTTCAGATTCCACGCTTATAAAGTCCATAAGCTTAGGGAATCGGATATTAATAGATAATCGCAGAATAAGAAAGGTTAGGAAAAAAAAAGCAAACGGCAGATGTAAGGTCTCTAGTGACGTTAGTACTTGGTGAGGGGACTGTATTCTTCGTAATTAGGACGCATTAATCTAACAAAAGGTGAAAAGAATTTTTCTATTTTACACCGGAATGCTTCCACATACAGGTTGTGCATATTAGCATTCCTGTTTTGAAATAAACGAATTTTGAAGCGGCCTACAGTGTATGCCGGATTCGTACGTTCCGCATACAGGTAGATGCTAATGAGACTGAAAGTTTAATTGACGGAGACACGCAAAGCATTTACTTTTACAATGATAAGCGTTGTATAAATACGGAAATGGTATCAAATAGCATTAAAGTGCTATATTCTATTAGATTGATGTAATCTATTCGAGTGCGAACTTTATATTCTGGTGAAAATTTTTCTTTGTATACTTAATAGAATTTTTCATGATGCAATTCTTCAGAACTTTTATATAAAGTTCAGAATTTTTTAAAATGATAATTATAGAGATTGAAAAGAAATGGAATAGATTGAAATAGATTGACAATTTTTAATCTGTTTTAATTCATTTGAATCAAAATTCTTGATTCATACATATGGATAGAAAGGAATTGAATGTAGTAAAATTGAATAATTTTCTATCCATATAGATAGAAAATATTTGTGTATTTTTGAAGTCAAAATGTATAACTTTGTACCTGTGTCACAAATGAAAATAGATTCATGATTTTTTACTCGATTCGGAATACTTTACAGAAGAAAATCTTATTAGAATTTTTTATATAGACGTTCTTAGAATCAGAAATCTTAGAAAATATTGTAAAGATTTCTGATTTTATAATTTCTGGAAAAAAAAAACTTCAAAATCTGAAAAAATGTAAGATATTTCTTCAGAATTTTTTATAAATTAAAAATATGACAAATTTTTTAAATGTTATAAGAATTTTTTTCACCAGAATAGTAGTGAATGCAGATTTATAAACAAAGTTGATCTTTAATTAACAATTATAATAGAACAACCAGTATTGCGTATCGTTCTGCGCTTACTTAAGAACAGAGCATAGCCATGCCTTATCTATCCCGGTTATGAAAGTGTACTTAAAACTTAATACATCAGTCGACCAATTATCTACTTATAGAGCAGTTAATCATGGAATAATTAGTTAATATGTTTAATTAGTATATATCGTCCACACAGAATATGTAGCTTTTATCGATCACACAAAATAAATTTTTTATTCTCTTTATATATTTTAACAGCTTGCCAATGAACGGAAAAATGAGAATTTCAGTTGGCATCACAGAAATTTCCGAAATAACATCAGCAATACATATAGCTGCTATCTTTTTTCTGTAGATATATTTTTTTAAAGAAGGATTAGCTAATATTGCTTTTCCGTTTTTATTTGTAGAAAGAATATTATTTTTATGTATTAACAAATCATAAAGAAAAATGGCAAATAAGATTATATGTTATGTATACATGTTTATATATATTATATATACATATATTTATATTATATATTGTTTTGCATATATCTTCTTGATCATAATATTATTTTGAGAATTTATTGATTTGCGTTTCTTTCAATATCAATGACAAATTTATATTAAAGCTCCCGTTTTCTCATTGTAACCATATTGTTACATATGTAACCATATTATGATGTCAAAACAAAAAGCGAATTTTTTCCTTGTAAAAAAAGTATCATTAAAATAAATGAATTGTTTGCATGCCTTATACGTTTAACGATAAAAAATTATGAATATCAAATAATTTTTTTAAATAGAGCTGCACCAGATTATAAAATTACCGGCTATCCGAAAAAAATGTAACACTGAATATATAATGATGTATATTTGGTAGGACAATTATATATGGTCAAATATGAGATATTTTCTCGGATATCTGATACAAATTCCTAAAATAAAAAAAGTAAAGCTAGAGAAAAATAGCGATAATAATTTTCTTTATAACTAATGGAGAGGAACAAGGCCAATAAATTCTTTAATTTATTCTAATATATTGCAAAGAATATCACCTAATTTTTGGCGTTTCGTCCCGGCTTCCAATTTTCTTTATCTTTTTTATCTTTCTAAAGAAAAAGAGGAAATATGAACTATGCAAGAAGTTCAGCTGAAAAGAATAGAATTCTGCATCAAGAACGCAAATTTTCAATGTAAAATTTTAACCGAATATATATTAGCAGATACTAATGACATTTGGCTATCCGACTGGATAGTAAAAAAATATCAGATAATATTAGATACTGAATATTTTGCAGATATCCGGTGTATCCCTATTTTTAAAGACGAAAATAATTCCAAATATTTACATTCAATAATAAAAATCGAGAAATTATATTATGTTATTGAATGTGAATAATATATTATATGTAAAAAACAAATTTATAAAAAATGACTTGCATAGTGAAGAAAAAATTCTTTATTTTGACATCATAATATAACATAGGTGTAATGAAGAAACAGTGACTTTAAAAATTGTCAAATTTTATAATAACGAAAGAAAGCTTATTGATATTGTAAAAAATTGTAAAGCTATAAAATTATCAAAATTAGTATATTTGCCAATCACGCAATTATTATTTTTGTTACAACATTCTCAAGTATGATACAGGCTATCAATCAATACTAATATTTGAGATGGAATATGACTTGAAATTTATACATACACTGGTTGTATACGTATACGTAGACAAATAAAAAAAATGGACGATTAGCCATTGATAAATTTTTATTTGTCTCTAAATTTTACTAAAAATTTATATTTACAATATAGTACTGAAATTATTTTTCAATCGTTTTTCTTGAGCATGGGACATGAAATGTCTTCTAGAAGAGGAAATCTAAATATTAAGAATACGGTGCATTGATGAATCAGCATGATTCTTTTACTAAGTCAAGGAACGAAAATATTTATTTTTGAAAGATATGCATCATAAATGTTGCTTGTGAAAGATGCAGCTATAAGCTTGCGTGCGAAACAAACGAATTGATCTCTGTTGTTGGTACTTTAATGAGACTGTCGTACATATTAGCATATTGTTCTTTGTACAATTGCTTAGTCTTTTTATTTGTTGTTTACGTTCTACGAAAAAGCATGTGACGAACCTCCCAAGAGCACTTAAAAAAATACTAATTCGCGCAATACTTAATATAATGATAATTTATAAGAATTGTCTTCCCACGTTTCTATCGATTCTAAAGTAACTTATCACCCCCTCATACTGTATATGCGCACACATATCATTCGCGTAACTACGGAATGATTTCCTTCTTAAAATAAAGTTCATTGTAAACATTTGTAACATTGAAATCATTGATAATAATGTGTATATTTTATCATGCACAATAATAGTGATGATGTATCAGAAAATATTAGCCAGTATTTTGGACGATGAATGAACACTGAATTTGTATTAAAATATTTCAAATCACAAATGCTTAGTTTGATTATACTGTTTTGAAGATGCAACGAAAGTAATGCTGTAAATATAAAGAGAAAGAATCATATTTTGTTGTGACGAGTGTGTGTGCGTGTGGATGTGTATCTGGTGTGTATGCAGAACGCGTAAAGAAAATGAGAAACGGAAGGGGAGAGAGAAGAGAGCGAAAAATGAGGGAGAACGTGCGAGTATATAGTATACTTGTAATAAAGCATATAAAAGTCGACTTAAGCGAAATAATATGAAAGTAGAATTACAAGAAGATAAATATTTGCCTGTTAAAAAATGACTATTCTATGTTTATGTTTGATAAAAGCTATTTCTACATACTTGAATGAGATACTTCTGCTGTAGCTCAGTGATAATTGTCTTTATTTGTATGTGCGTATGTATGTGTGCGTGTGTGTGTGTATGTGACACGCGATGAAAGAATTTGCTTAATTTTTCATGTGAGAGAAACCTAGCTGTAGAGAGACACACTTAACCGACACAATTCAGTTCTATCTTTTTTTTTTTAAATTGTCAAAAGCAGAGAGCTATTCTATGGATACAGTCTTCCGTTTTCAGTAGTATGTTACGATATTATCGTGATTTAAGACGTTCGCATTCGTTATAACGCATTGCAAAGATTTGACAAAAAAAAGTCTTTTTGCCAATCATGACAATATTAGGAGGACGCTGTGTAAAATCAGATTGTATGATATATGAAGAACTTAAATACAACAGACTGCACACAATGGCAATTGCAGTAGATATAAATATATACAGGATGTCTATAAAGAATAATAGATCAGTACTTTGATTCTATAATACTTGTTCTATAGTATGCTTGTTCTAGATAATAGAGTCACAAGCCATAAGCCATAAGAAATTGATCAATCACAATCAAATATGAAAAAAATAATCGGTTATATGATTAATTAATTTTTATGGATTGTGATCCTATTGTAAAATAGGTATTAACTCTACGATATGTTGTCGTTGTGCGCGTAGCTTCTTTGCCATGTGTATAATATCTTTGTAATGACAACACTATACCAATACTATCGTTAAGAGTTACAGAATTGGGGTACTCATCTTAATAATGTTATTAATGTTATATATCTCTTCAATACATTAATTCTGATTTGTCTGTTTAAACACTTCTCAGTCTATTTCACTTAATATTGTAGAATCTTTATAAATTAATTTCTTAATTAGACTAAAAATTTCTTAATTATTATAAAAAAAAACATAAAATGGTGCAGGATTTTCCTATTTTCAATTTAATCCACTTTATAAAGCGATGTTAATCTATTATCAGACACCCTGTATATACACATATTTATATTTATATATGTGTTATATAATTTATATGATGAATATAAATATATAAATATGAATATATATATGAATATACGTACAGTTGTGTGTAAGAGAGAAGTTTGTAATTATAACAAAGGTAAAAAAAAAATACCGGACACAAGGGCCAAACAGCAGTGTAATATTAAAAATAAATCGTATCCTAGAGATAATATTATGGATACTCAACAAGTATAGTATTTCTTATTGACATATATATATATGTATATAATTTTATATTATATATATATACATATATATATATATATAATAAATACAGTAAAAGAAAAATTTTATAGAGAAGATACCGACAAAGTTTTATCCATCCATCATCAACTAGCTCAGCAGTTCCCAAAAATTGCATATTTTTTACCTCGATATTGTAAAAACTTCGCGGCCGAACGTTTGCACATAAATATTAATTATCATACGCTAGATGATGATCTCAATTACACGAAGTACGTTCGGCATTAACGATTGTAGATACTACTGATCTAGTTGAGCCTCGCAAGAGAAGGAAAAAAAAAAACAGAAAAAAGACAGCGCCCAATGTATATGTTACTGCTGAGAATATTTCGTTCCCGACTTAGGAGAGAATAGCTGCTATTCACGCAAACGCAATTAGAGAGTAGTTTTATACATACAACACGAATTATCAATATGATAAATAAAAAAAAACTTTTTATAAAATGATACATTTATATTCATTCATTCCAATTGTTCTCAAGCATTATTTCATCCTCATCAGTAGTTTCCTTACCATCTTATAGATTTATTACGCTTATAGTTGGTTCTTACTTTAAGACCATCTTAAATATCTTAAGATGCCAATAATGTAGTTCTTTGATTCATTTTAAAATTAATACTACAGTCCTAAATATAAAAACCTTGACTATGAATACTAATCCCTAATTGTTGATTCATAACATCTCATAACATATATCTTAAGATATTTTTTTGTTATGTACTTAAAACAGTCTTATGGCAAATAATGATCTACATACCTGATATTCAATACATCATGATATATTACGACGAACCTGACAATTTACGATGAGATGCACTCGCGACATTTTTTCGAACGCGAGATTATTTCAAACGATCGCAAGAAAACACGAAGCGACTTGAACATAACTTTACGATTGCCGCGACAAGAATTTGAATTGGTTCGAATTTGATAAATCCACGAACTAAAAAGGATAGAGTTAGCTGCTGAACGCAGCCATTGGCTCAACAGTTTTACAACTGTTTTATGATTCTTCGCTGAGATAGGACTATTCTTTTAGATCTAAAAGTATAATCCAATCAGCGAGACGAATCATAAAACGGTTGCAAAACTGTTGAGTCTGCTGAACGCAGCCATTTGTGTCGATTCAATTTTCCGATGAAAGAATCGATGTGCGAACGTAATCGATACGATAATTGATTCAAAAAACCGAAAATCGAGGTCGAAAAGAACGATTCTTCAAAAAGTCGAACTGAATCGCCCATCTCTAGTCTGAATGGGTCGACAATGGTAATTATGGCGAGATACAGATAATAAAATATACCGGGCTAATCGTCATCTATCAGTCGCTATTACAATTGTGTCTGTGACACGTGGTGCAACGCATTCGTATTTCGTCTGCATTCGTCATGGGAAGCGCGGACACCACGGTGAAGTTGCAGAATGATAATTATGAGATTGACGAATATGGAACTAACCTAAAGATTTTACCCTGCAACAACCAAGTGAAAGAGTTGCAAACCATTTTGCGGGATAAGTAAGTATCTTTGTATTAAATCGTAGTCATAAGTATTCAAATATTTTTCATCATGAGATAAATGGATATATTTTATCTATTTAATTTCTTCTTGAATCTGTAGTAGTTCATACCTTCTTCTCATAATTTAATCAATCGTTCTTTTATTACCGTACATTGCTCAACATAATGCTTTAAATTTTTTTCTCCATCACAGAATAAACATTTCTCGCTACTTTCTTCCAACTAACATTTATTGCTTTCTTTCAAATTCTCTGATCTTAATTTCAACAAAGCTCTAACCTCATCTCCTCTTTTCCATTTTCCTAAGTTTTCATTGTATATCTTGCCCTTGAAATTCTACAGTCCATAGTCTTTGTACCTTTCTTTTCCTGTTTATTAACTGATTTTTTAATTCTTCCCCATATATCACTTCTCTTGTTTCTATCCCAATCCTATTGCAATAATTTAATCTGTAGTTATATACTTTCGAAAGAATTATAAATTTATCAAATTACTTGTTTTGTAGATTAATTATTGAAAATATCTAAGAGAGCTATTTATTGATAGGTCTTATTTTATAGGAATACTACAAGGAGTGATTTCAAATTCTACGCTGACCGTTTGGTAAGATATGTTTTGTTTTGTAATATTGCTTATATTGGCTATGTTCAAAAAATACAATAGATACATTCAAAAGCACAATCACTCACTGAGCATTCAGTGAGCTTTTTTATTGGCATATTCTATTAGATCTAAAAATATAAACCAAACAGCTACAAGAATTCAATGAGCGCTCAGTAAGCGATCATGCTTCTGGATGCACCCATTGGATAAAAGAATGTTCAGCAATTTTATCTGTGATTAGAGTAAATCTTTAAATCCATATAATAAATGTAGAAGAATATATCAACACTGTTCAAATTATGCTGTGATTACATATTATCATGGCATACATACATGATGTTTATCCTAAAAGTGTTCTCTGAACTTTGTATAGTTTACTAATTATTTGTTTAATATAGATACCAATGAGAATAAGCCATTTACGGTCAAGCTGGATCTTGGATGCTTCTAATATAATTTTTGTGTTTATTTATATACTATGTATGTAGATCCTTAAATGCGCGCCAACTTTTTTTTTCAGACTTACAAAATGCAAACTAATAAACTACCGCAGTACTATCACGAGTTAAATTAACTAACAATCTAACAGTTTTGATGCTTATTGCATCTTGGATCTTAATAATATGTCGAATGACATATTAAAATCTATGAATGACATATCAAAAATCTATAAATTATTTAATTACTTCGCGAAAAATATTACCTCGGCCGGGAGTCGAACCCGAATCGCTACTCAGTATGTATGTAGATCCCTACATTTAGGGATCTACATACATAGTATATAAACAAAAATAAAACAAATAAAAGACTCTTTCTTTAAAAACATTATAAACATGGAAATGGCATTGTAAGAGTCAAACGAAAAGTAAATTAACAAACAATTAATACATATATTCTAAAATGAACTTATAAAATTTACATAAATGTAACGATTAAAAAACAGATGTTAATTACATTACTAGTTTCGACCACCAAATCTGGTCCTCTTCAGATGAAACACTTAACGTTGAAATGTACATAATTATGGAAAAACATCAATACATAAGAAAATCTTGTGCGTAGTTAAATATATAACAGAAAAT